AAGAGTTGGATGTGACGATAGAGAAGCTGTATAAAAATGCGTGTAATTTTGGTCAAAGATAATTGTATTCTTTTGATACTCATTGTGTTTTAATGCAGTCCTTTCTGCATTCAACACCGGTAATGGATTAAAGGACTCATATGTACTGGAGACGGAAGTGAGTTATAATAAGACGAGTTCTACAGCAGCTCCGCTCTGGATGTGGCTGAATCTCAGTTACAGTGACGACTGAACATCAAGATCCTAACGATCGAGGCTGAAAATAATACCAATTAAGTTATATTAGGCTAGCAAAACTGTTAAATAAATGGTTATCTCTTTTTCCACTGGCTAAGAGTCGCAGAGTCATATTTCGGCACAAACATTCAGTAACGAATCACTTACGAAATTTGTAATCTCTGAGAGGTGATGGCTTAAGATTTAGACTAATACTGAGACATTTTTCAATATTAATTTATTATGACAAAATTGTTCAGGATCCAGAACCTTGGCTGCTGTTTGCAAACAAGCACTACATTCGTAAACTAACATTGGATGGCGAAAATTACGAATTAGTAGCGCGAGGATTCGAGAATGTCATTTCGATGGATATCGATATGAAAGAAAGAAAGGTAAGCTTTTTTAACAAGCCTTCTTTTTCAGTCCCCAATAATGCTTCAGAATGAATATTTTTTTTCGAAATTCTTCGGAATAGAAAAACCTGAAGAAATTTCACACCACTAAAATACCTTTATAGAAGCTGAGCATTATAGGCTTTAGAATTTGCGCAGCAGTTGCCTAAACCGAGGAATCACGCGCGTACGGTTCGCTGGCAAATTCTATTATGGTCTTTTCTCCCTGCTGGTCTTCTGTCTTTGCCGATTATTTCTTCAGTTTTCCATAATTTTCTGTTCTAAACGTTTTATTGTCAAACCAAGATCCTGAAAACTCCGTTTTCTATCTTCGATAAACTTAAAATTTATTATATTTCATGATTTGGACAACCAGAAAAATTCATTATTATACATATTTGCAAGGAAGCACTAACATCCACTATCTCTAGAAACGGTGCGTATTCGCCGATTGTTCTTTTTCCAGGCATATCTTGTCGATTCGGGCCAACTGCGTCTCTACAGAGTGGGCTTGGAAGAACTGGACCAACCAATTGACTCATACCAAGTGGTTCTGAGGCATAATGTGTTTGGTACGGAAGGTCAGTTTTTTTAACACTCCTTGACTGTTTTTCTTTTTCAACAAATCGGCGGATTTCAAAATTTTTGTGCTCTACATGTGCTCTCACGTCACCTATGCAATCCAAAAATTACAAGAAAGCGGGAACAGTCCGCGTATATTTTTGTCTGTCTGATTGACCACATATTCTAACTCCCGAACTGCAAGTATTACGAAGAAGCTCAAGGCACTGTATGTAACTATAGACTTTCTGATAAGAACAGAGTCCACAATCGTTCACAGTACATCAAGCTTTAATTCCATTTCCAAGTTATTCTATGTCTTTGCTGGCCAAAATTTTGCTTTCGATGGCAAATTTCATATTCCAACTGCCAAAAAATTATAAGGTCAAATTTGTGAGTAAAATTACGGAGTGTACATGAGCTCATGACGCCTTATGAATTTCCAGTTTGCCGTACGTCTTACCCCCACTCAGTTTCAGCAGTTTTTATGACTCTGGGATAATACTGCTTACAGGCTTTAGTTTTAAATCATGCACGCAGTCGAGACTTCGATATTTATCTTTAGGTAACCTCTGTAATTTGCGGATTAAAAAGATGCAAACTTAATTTCTTAGGACCAGCTTCTCTTTTTATGCGTTTTTTGCAGCAATGCAATGCGAAAAACGCATACTGACGAGAGTTTGTCTGTGTGTGTGTGTCTGTGTGTGTGTTTGTGTGTGTCTGTGTGTGCGCTGGGCCTCTATACCGATTTTTCATCTCGAGACCGGCAAAAGCTACGGGGGTATAACTTTGAGGACTTAAGTGATGCACGTACGGGGACCCCTATCCCCAAAATGGGCGGTCTTTCCCGCGCGGTACCCCCGTAAGACCCCGCCAAAGTTTTTTGCGGGGAAGCTGATAACTCGCGAACCAGAAACGCTAGAGAGCTGAAATTTTATGGGAATGTTCCCCGCCCAAATAGGTACCAATGAGTTTAAATCTGGCCGCCGGGTAAGCGTGGTTCCCGCGCACGAGCTTCCCAAAATTTTTCCCGCGTAAATTCATAACTCGGAGTTCTGAGATGCCAGAGAGCTGAAATTTTAGGGGAATGTTCCCCGTCCAAGCAGGTGCTAATTAGCTCAAATCCAGCCCCCGGATAAGCGTGGTACCTGCGTACGAGCCTCCCAAAACTTCTA